CTGAAAAAGGCGTCTCGCAATTTGATGCTGACTCCACACACACATACTGTTTTTTAAGCGTGCATATCGGAAACTTCATGAAAGGGGATACAACGGAAAAGGACAAGCAAGCTTGCCATTATATTTACTAAAAAATTCTTCCCTGCTAGTCTGCAGGTTTGATTAAAAGACTCAGTTAGTAAGAAGCTATATTTTTACAGAATTTCATGCACTGCATTTTGCGATAGTTTACGATACTTATTTTGATATTTTGACTTTTTTTTCTTTTAAAATCGTCGCGTTTCTTCTTGCTACTGATACAGTTGGTAATCCCTTCATTCTTCATTTTTTGGGACTTCTGTTATCCGCATAATTCCGTACAGCCGTTCAAGCCGATCACTCTAGTCGGCCTTTCCTGTGTTCTTTTAATATTAGACGCATAGCTCGCATTATACACAAACTTAAAGTTCTATCAAATTTTCCTTCGTAGTGTTTCTTCTCGAAACTGATGCAGAAAACAACTTCTCAATTTTTCTTTGTTTTGCGTTTTTTGCATCCGCATAGTTCTACATAGTCCTTCAAGCGGCACAGTGATTTTGCTTTGTTACCATCTGCACGATAGCTTTAAATGTTAGGTGCCGGAATGTCAAGAAAATGCTATTTTTTCAGGCATTGCAGCAGCAATTGCGGTTGCAAAAGTTTGTGTTTTATGAAGTGTATAGTGGAATTATCACAGTGATGTGATCGGAAGAAAAGCAAACGCCGTGCAGGCAGATTGATATCACTCGTAAGATGTGGTTTACCGATAATGGCGAACAACCGTCGGACACCAGCTCGTCTGCTTGGCCGTTGTCCTTCCGGATCCCTCTTTTCATCTCCAAACGCTGTCAACAACGCACAAATGCAATCACTGCTGTATCGCCCGCCCCACACTTTTTTTTTAATTTCCGTGTATGGTGAATCAAATTTCCTCGCTGATTTACCGCAGTTGTCTCCCTTGCTCTGCTGGCATATTTTACTAACACTGTGCTTCTCGGGTGAAATTTCCTTCCTTTTCCAAAATTTAAAAGTGACACTCGGCGCGTGAACTTTTAGCGGATTTCAGCGGCTAGTAATACATGAATTAATGCTAAAAATCAAATCGTTGAACATCGGGCAATGGCTTGCTTAAACCGATTTACGCAAAATAGCTATGTCCTGTTATGTTAGCTGTATTTCTTGTCTATCGGATCTTTTGTTTGACTTTTTATTTTTCTAATTTATGCTTATTATTGGCTTCGCATAAAAGGTTTGTGACCTGTCACAAGAAATAAGCTGTTGCACATATTGCACAACTAAATGACTGGCGTGTAAATTTGAATGTATAAGCATATACGAGTAGCTGGAATTATAAATTTAAGTAGCAACGCATCAGGTTTACCAGTACGAACATGTGTTTTAGCGCTAAACTAAAATCAGTCAGATTATTTGTAGTATAAATGGTTGTTGCTTTACCGTTTAACAT